GTAGTGCGGGTTGGCCGGACATGCGCAATGATATGTAGGATTGGAAGATGACCGCGACCATGACAACGTCGCTTCTGTTGGCAAGTGAGAACCTACACAGGAGGTATGCGTGCGGTACGCGCGTAAAGTCAAAGCAAACTATTGATTCGGATGAATGACACGGAAAGCGAGGATCAGAGCCCCGCCCTTTCGTATCCGATTTGGTTAGTCTACGCATCCTGCGTGTCATTGTCCTAAAGGATATCATGTCGCAAGTCCGTCATTTTGGTAGTAAGATATTCTGACTTTCATTTCCAGAATTTTGATTGTGTCTGTCGCACGTACGGTGGTCGAAGATGGCGTCAAATGTACGTGCCCTTCGTTGCGACCCCCTGACCTCGGGACTATCCCCAAGCTAATAACGACAGCCAAACGCATCGATAACCTGGGCGGCATCTCAGAAAGAAGATGCGTCCAAAGTTGGGTTTCTAGACTTACCGCGCGAACTTCGCGACATGATCTACGAGTTCGCGTTCCGCATCAAAGGCGCGGTTCTCGTCTACTCGCGCGACCCCTTCGCAGTTCGGCCGGTGATGAGAGTGCTGAACATCCGACATGGCGGCGAAGGACCGATTGAACCACAGCCCTTATGCAGCGGCCAGATTCCGGTAGCACTCATAAGGACGTGTCGACAGCTTCGCGCAGAAAGCAGCCCTGTTTTCTACGGGTCCAACGTGTTTTCCTTTTGGGCCCTGGGCAACATCGACGTGGGTTCCGCCAATCGGTGTTTGGTACGGCACATTGTGACTGAAGCAAGTCCTCGCGGCATCTTCGACAAATCTCTCGAGCACGTCAGCTATTGCTGGAAGAGGAGGTTTTGGCCTGAGATATTGCGTAGCAGCGAGGCTATATTGGAGCACTTCCCATACCTAGACACGCTGACGTACTCACTGAAGCCACCGCGTGAGGAGGTTTGGAAACCTGCTTTCTTTGATGTGGCCAACAAAACTAGAGAGCAGCGTGTCGATCTGGTTGCTAGTTGGATGAGTCAAATGTGTCCTTGGGAGAACGAGCGACTGCGTGGGATTGTGCATCTCGAGATGGTGCCTTCGCCTGGGCTCTCGAGAGATGAATATGCGGGTTCGCGGTTCGTTCTTGAAGTTGAAGACGAAGACGTCTGGGACTACACCGAGTTCGTGGATGCATTCGAGCGGATGAAGATATCGATCTAATTAGATAGGCGGAGAAGCATATCGATTATACAAAAGCAATATGAGCATTCTGTGGGTGGCCACGTTGGCAGAACCATCGTTCGGTGCAGGATGACGGAAGGAGGCATGATCGGGTGAGCCTTGCCTTCTCCGCCACATTGATCTTATTTCATGCGCCGTTGGCACAATATGTGCTTTTCTCCACACGATGCAAGCAGAAACTTGAAGTTTGGTACCGGCATCCCCACGAACTGGTGGCTCAACTGGTAAGCGACGAGGCTAGATCGCCGGCCGATTCCGGCAACTACACCCAAGCCGCAGATGTCAAGCACGGCATCAAGAAAACGCCATTCCGCGCTCAGATCTCACAAAAAAAGATCCAATTGTCATCGACATGTTTCTCCGACCAGCGCGCACCTGCACACGTTCACTCTCCACATCAACCCGCGCAATCACGGCCCGGCCGTCCATAAACCCACCAAACGACGCTTTCCGAAACCGGCAAAACCTAGTTCCCAAATTTTCGACAAAACAGTCATCTTTGCAATTGAGCAGCCGGCGATTCATAGCAACCTCCGTACCGCGACTTCAACAAATCGGCTCCGCAGAACGGATTTCAACATCCAAAATGGCAGGCGACGATCACTACCTCACGCTCTCATGCCCGGATAAGGCAGGCATTGTGTATGCCGTCACGGGCCTGCTGGCCAAGGAAAACCTCACGATTCTCGATCTGCAGCAATTTTCCGACCCAAACTCCAAGACCTTCTTCATGCGTGTACATTTCGGCCATGCAGCAGATGTGTCCGCGCTGCAAGAGAGCATGAAGAAGCTCGCTTCGGAAATGAGCATGACATACCAGATCCAACGGGTAGACTCCAAGCCCAAAGTCCTCATCATGGTATCCAAAATCGGACACTGCCTCAACGACCTCTTGTTCCGCGTCAAGTCTGGCCAACTCAAAGTCGAAGTCCCAATCATTGTGTCCAACCACCCCGAGTTCGCGGAGCTGGCAAAGAACAACGGCATTGAGTTCCATCACCTGCCTGTAACCAAGGACACCAAGGAGAAGCAGGAGACGCAGATTTTGGATCTCATCAAGCAACATAATATCGATCTTGTTGTTCTGGCACGCTACATGCAGGTCCTCTCACCGCGCCTGTGCACGGAGATGTCGGGCAAGATTATCAACATTCATCACTCTTTCTTGCCTTCATTCAAGGGCGCGAAACCTTACCACCAGGCTTACGAGCGTGGTGTCAAGATCATTGGTGCGACCGCACATTTCGTCACCGCGGATCTGGACGAGGGACCGATCATTGAACAGCGCGTTGCGAGGGTCGACCATGCCTTGAGTCCCAAGGAGTTGGTCGAAGAGGGAAGCAATGTCGAGAGCCAGGTCTTGGCTGCGGCAGTCAAGTGGTGGAGCGAGAAGAGGGTGTTTTTGAACGGTCAAAAGACTGTTGTGTTCAACTAAAGCATGCCATCAAAAGTCGACGAAAAGCAATGTAAATATACACATGTGTCATTGAAAGCGTCTGAAAATTAATCTACAATGGGTTGCGCACGCTCACCACTTGACGCGCAGGCCTTCGAAACTTCTCGGCATAGGTGGAAAGTCAGCAGACAGACCATCTTCGCCGATGTACTTCTCCTTGAGTAGCAGGCAGGTCGAGCATAGACGCTCGCCGATTGAGTGTTCACCGAGCCAGATCCGGCCTTGAGCGCTGTAAAGCAAAGTCGCGATGTCGGTGAACATGTTCGATGTGCAGTTGATCTGGAGGTCGGTATCGTTGAAAACGTGAGGCTGGGCGTCGGAGAACTCGTCATCCGATTGCGTATCATCGTCGGTATCGTCCGTTTGAAGCATCCCGGTATAGCCCTGAAGCTCTTCTAATATCGTCGAGCCTTTTTGAATCGTGTCGCAGACACAGTTCGAGTTGTGACCGGACTTGACGCATTCTGTGACGGCTATGCGCGCAGGTTCGACCAGTCCGTCAGCAAATGGACCATAGTCGTCTCCGCAGTGCGTGCATGCAGTCCTTGATGACTTTCCAGCGCCGTGAGGGACATGTTTGGTCTGAGTCAGCGCATGGACGAAAGTCCGTCGCGTCATGCCAAGTTGGCATAGGTAGCGATCGAGCTCTTCCCGCAGATACGTTTTTAATTGCTCGATGCAGTCCAATACTGCGTTGCACCAAGCTGAGTAGATACTCGGCAATGCTTGCAGGAATTGCTTGTGTGTGAGGTTGTCCTCCATCCAATCAAAGCCCTTCATCTGCAAGAAAGAGCCGGCGTTCACGACCATTGGCAGCACTACTCGGCCGCTTGCACGCAGAGCAAGCCAAGAACCTATCGCGTCCAGGTGTCTCTTGCTGACCCCCGAACGCTCCTCGTGAGAAAGACCGAGGATCTGCTGGATGTAGTTGTTGTGACGGGAATGATTGAGAACAGATCTCATCGCGTGTTGCAGGGCGGACCAGATATTGCGCGCGCTGAATTCGACATACTCCTCGTTCACGGTAAGGTGAAGTAGCCACGTAATACTGTTTCGCGAAATAGGAACTCGTTCTCTCGCATACGCTCGCTTGAGCCAGTCATGTACAGTCCAGCCATCACTGTCGGCGTCGGCGATGTCAATGCATTCGCAGAAGAGTCTGAGCATGGCGATCTTGATGTCAGCGTGCTCATCGGTACAAAATGCGACGAAAAGCGATATGGGCGATCTAGTTTCGTTAGCAGCGGTGCCGTCAGTTGACACTGGGGACCCACAAGATCGCATCAGAAGGTCCTTCATACACAAGTGCAGACTTGTCTGCCCCTCCCTTGATCAGCAAAGCGCAAAGCTCGACGTGACCTGCAGCGGCGGCAAACTGGCCAAGTCAGTATCCTTGAATGAGTTCTCCACACATGTGTAGCGTCTTACGTGCAGTGGCTTCCATCCTTTGGGGCTCGTGTCTACTACGCTAGCCATTCCCTTCTCCAGAAGCGCTTCGACAGCACGGGTTTGACCGGTGCGACAGAGCTCGAAGATGAGCGAGTCATCGGGAACCGGGCAGGTTACTGTTATGTTACAGTTAAAGAGCCAGCTCCGCCCCCCGGATGCCACGACAGCTTCGAGGCCGCTCTGAATTCCCATGTACTGTTGCCATCTTGTAGGGTATAATATCAGCGACCTGACGATCTGGGGCTTCCTACGTCTCTTGGAAGACTTATTGTCGTGATGAATAGTCGTTGTGCGTAGCCAAGCACATCCGAGTGCAGTGCGGATGGTTGAGACATGGTGTCTTACGCGATACCGCAGATTCTCCCCATAAACAAAAGTCTTGGTCCGCAGCTGTCCACATTCATCGATCGTATAGCCGTCTTGTGAATAGATCTCCAGCGATGTCGGATCGAAGGTGGTGACCGCAGTTTGTGCGATGGCGTGCAACATGAGCTCTTGTACCTCATAACCGATCGAGCTGCGCTCTGTGAGCATTTTACCCAAAGGCTGTATTGCGTTTGTCGTGAAGGAAGACGTCATTCGACGGAGGGAACGCTGGCCAACAAATTTTGAGGGGATACTTTGCACTGGTGTCCAACTAGACGCGTCCTCGATCCCAGGCAAACAAAGTGGGCCTTTCCGGACGGGTTTAGAAGCACCATGTCCTTCGATCTCTCCAAATACTTTCAATCTTGTCGAAAGACGAGAAGAGCGAGCTTGAATCACGCTAAGTATGCATGGTCAGCGAACCGCTAATGGCATGCATAGGATCGAGTCGTACCTTTCGTGGGCCATAGCTAGTGTGAGTGTCGACTTCGTGTCATTCAAAGAGTCACGGAACCGTTGGATATGTTTGCTGTGAAGCGCAGCTTTGAAAGCTGTACGGACTCGTTGCCTTCGCGACAGCGATGAAAGTCCGCCATCGAATCTTTCGACAATGAGTGTCAGATCCTGAAATGATCAGTAGTAGCTTGCGTGCCGAAATCGGTACACTTACTGCAATCTTGGCTCGGCAGTGTTGTACACCTTCTGCTAGACAACCACCAAGACTGTTGCCATGGGATTCGACTTTCTGGAAGACTGAGATGAGGAAGCGTAGATCTTCCTTGATGGCAATGATCTCCCGAGGAGCATCTTCGACTGTCTCCCAAAACGTGTAAAGTTTGATGCAGGCTTCGGTAAGTTGGAAAGCTACAGATATGACAGCGAGGCCTGGACGCCATTAGTAGAAGATGACGAAATCGTTCATCGAACGTACCGTTCGCCGCGATCGAAAGTCCTTCCATTGTCTCTGCGGCCTGATTACTGATTGCATGGCAAGAGCAGTCGGATTAAGGCTTATATTCCAGTGAGCCTACTGCGGTACAGCAAAGGGGCGAGGTTCACTCACGTCTCAGCATTGCCCGGTTGTGGCTGCGCCAATGCATGCTCAATGATTCCCCTGCAGGTCGCCTCGTGCTTTACCTCCACCAAATCCGTGCTGAGCATGCCTTTGAGCCTTGCGCATGGTCATAGCTGGGAGACCTTGAGACAGCATCGAACAACAATGTGCGCGGCAGGTTGACGCACTTGTGTGAGTAACAGCCATGATAGTAGCCCATTACCTTGTTTTTCTCCGGTTGTAATATCAGCAAACTTCAAGGCTTTGCAAGACCTGCCCATAAGCTTGATACGACTTCGATGTTCGGGCGACGGTTCGTCAATGGTGCTCGGATTCAGGAGGCTGGGTCGATCGACGCTTCCGCGGAGCCTTCCGCCCCCACACTATCCACTTGTGGGTTCAGCCGTCACGTAACGGGCGTCGAGGCCGACGCGTTCCAGGGAGCTCTAGAAGACGACATCGCATACAATAGGTTGGGGCATCGCGTGTCGCAAACTCAGATAAGATGGATGAGAGCCTACTGGGCAGATGCACGGGAAGGACCAGCGCGCTAACGACAAGAGCGGCACGTGGGCAGCCACCCGCATCTGTTGGCAGCCACCCATCTCGTTTGGGTTTACCATTATATCCATCGACGTACGTAAACAGCAAATAGTCATTGCCATCTGGAACGCCTTAACTACCCGGGCTGGCGTCCGGCTTGATTTCTCCGAGGACGCGGCATCAGCGCTAGACATACATATACGGTGGATACAGGCTGCGCCAGCCGAAACGGGTGCAGGACGTTGCACTGCTGTTACCAAAAGCCTGTGGTTGGAATTAAGTCTCTTCAATGCTCTACTACATTACTTGTGATAGCATGCATCGCATGCTTGCAGCAAGTCGACACCACACATAGTAGCTATTCATCCTCTGTCTTCAGCTCCACTCACATCTTTCCATTATGCCGCCTCGTCAAGCCTGCATATGGCGCACCTCTAACAATAGGTGCGATTTCCGAAGCAACACCAAAAGCACAGTGGTTCACACTCTGGAAGTCGCCAATCCCCTGATACCCATGTTCCCTCATGTGCTCTGGATCGTTGCTATTCGCAAGAACACCAAACTTGAGTCTAGTATGCATCACCTCCAGCGGGAAAGGGTCGTTACCCAGACAGGCGCCACGACTGATGTCATCCAAGGTGGTATTTCGTGTGGTAACCAGAATGCGAGAGAAGCCTGTCGAGAACGTCGTCCCATCTTGCCAGATTGTGAAAGCGCCGAAGAGGAGAATGAGGAGTGTGATGAAGACGACTGGCGCATAACATTGCCAGAGCCGTTCCGGGACGTAGACGAATGAGGATTGGAGTCGCGAGCGGTTCACTGTGAGCTGTTCTTCGGCGACTGCTAACATCTCTGGCGCTGATAGCAATGACAGAACCATGTCTGAGTAGAAAGTCTCGATCTCATCCTTTAGGTTTTGCTTAGGCTCGCTGTTCTTCTCGACTAGTCGTGTCTTTGTGACATCAGAATAAACTTGTGCGTAGTAAGGTCCGGGTAATGGCGGTTCGAGATCGACGTGCCCACGAAGAAAGTCCCTGAACATGTCGCCGACAGCATGGTATGCGGCCGTTTTCTTGTAGAGGCCCACATCGCTCCGAGGGCTGATGTAGTTTTCCGCTGGTCCCGGATCGAGGGTGTAGTTGATCTTGCCGTCGACGCCCCGCGGAAAGCTGGTGTCTACAATGAGCCTCTGCGGTTCTAGCTTGACCGTGGAATTGAAGAAGGGTTCAGTGAAGTTCCAGCTAACTGTATACTTAGTCTCCATATGTATGCAGCGCATGATTCGCGCATCATAGCGATGTGTCCAGTTCTTTGCAAGAGGGTCGTCTTCCGCGAGCTTTACTGTGGAATTGAACGCATAGCCAATCCAGAGCGCAGGTTCTGACTTGAAGACACCCAGGTCGACTGGAATGTCACCATCAGGTATACCACCCGAACCTTTGCGGAAGTTGTCGGCTTGTGGGCGGGCATATTCGCCCTCGTCGACGTCGGCGTAGTAAACGAAGCGGCCTCGCGGTGCCAAAATGCTCATGTTGAAGGGCGCACCCAATTCCGTTAGTCTCTCATCGTCATCTGCACCACTTGCTATTTCTTCGCATTGGTAGCTCGGCCCAACAAAGCTTTGTTCGTACATGCAATTGTATCGCCCTCCACAAGCGTCTTGCCGAGCATCTTGCCTAATGTTGGGTCGGTCCACGTTGCTATAAGCCAGCAGAAGAGCAACACGTCTTAACTCCGCCGAAGGCTGATCGTAGTAGTCAAACCACCCTGGTGCAGTACCAGATAAATCTGTGGTATTGTAATACATCATCGATCTCTTGTTGCTTCCGTCGGCCAACCTCACCGGATGCCGCCAGTCTTTTGTGGACTCCATCGAGAAGTTCAGCGTGGAAACGTTAAGATCGATTGTCTCGCTGTCGAGATAGGTTCCGAAGGTAAGCGCACCGGGCGAGAAGATGATTGTTGCCAACGGGACCAGCCAGATGACCTGCAGGCAGACGTCCCCGGTTAGTCATGTTTCGCATACAATTGTTGCGGGGATAATTACTCACCAAGGCAATAGCGCACAGGAACGGTGCACTAGAAAGGGCCTCCCAATTGCCAAAGATTGATGGATCTTCCGTAGCCCCGAAGATCTGGTCGATAGACAGCACTGTGAAAGCCTGGTTCCTAAACGCTCTCCACATGCGCTGACGAAAGACCAGAACCACACATCCGCCGAAAGCAAGCTTCGATAGATAGGCAAGTGCGCGCCCATACAGAACCCAGCGAAACTTCTTGTCCTCGTCATCTTCTCGCTGGTGATGCAAGAAAGTATACAAGAGGTGTTGAAGAAGCGCAAACACGATGCCCATGATGAAAGCAAACACCATGAGTGCTGGCCCACGCCAGTTTACTCGCCATTGAGTTGACTGCGTCGCTCGGTGTGCTATCAACCTCTCGGTCATAGGATCTGTTCGCGCTCTCGAGATACCCGATCCAAACGAATACAGCGTATCTGGTGTTCTGGAGTATGGTGGTCGTGGCCCTGGAGAGTAGGTAGAAGGAGAAAAAGCACCAGCCTTCGCATTAGGCGTATCCTGCCGCCAATACGTAGAGCCTGGTGATTTGGGTGATGGCATGGGCTCCATTTGGATACCTAGGCCTGGGTCGTTAACGCTTTCGCTGTATCTTGATGGCGTCCCGCGCCTGCTGTCGGTGGACTCGTCGCTTGTTCGCGAAGGTAAAGAGGCATAATCTGGTCGGGATATGCGAATGTCTGGCGATGCAGGTAAATATGAGTATTGCGGAGTTTGAGGATCCATGTTGGCAGTTGTTGGAGGCGTCAAAGATCGGATTGGCACATAGAGCGCTTGGCTGGATCATGTCTCAGTAGTTTGAGAGTCTGTAGTTGCATGTTTGAAGAAGATAAGGGTCTGCACTGTGGAATAGGTATCATAGATGGTTTTACAAAAGACCGGTCAGCATTCTCGGAATGGCCGCTCTGGCGTCGTAGCTGAGCTGCATCTTCCTAGGGCTGAGCTGTAACCGTCAGCTGGCAGGGGTTGCACACGTTAGAGGCTCATCATCTGATGTCAGTCGGTCCCCGGTGCTCGCACGGGAGTGTCGCGACCACAACGGCAGCCAGCCGCATCGCGCGACCGACTTATCATGCCCTTGGCTGCGCCTGGTCTATTCGCGCGCGGAAACTATCATAGTGGCGACGGGTGGCTTACACATTTGAAACGGTTAATGCTGCGGTTGAACATGACGAAGGCCTGATGAGCGGTGTCGGGGTGTCTGGTGCAGAAGAGCCATGGAAGGAGGCACGGAGGAAGCTCGGACGGAACAGGTGCGTTAGCCGAGAGTCATCCGCAACAAGACATGTACGTGCTGCAGCAGCAAACAAAGTCACCACTACAAGACACAAATACATTTGTGCATACGATCATGCTACAGTGATCTCGCTACATCCGAGAGGCAGTATTGTAGTACTGAACTTGCTTTGACCTACGGAAAAAAGCAATTCGCAATCCCACATGGTTCCCATCACGAGGGCGCAAGGCGATCGACGGTCTCGCTATAGGCGGTTGAGTGTGGCATAATATCGCAACCGGTCATTGGAGCCTGTTCATCTATTTCAGGCCGCCTTGTGCATTTCGACAGTTCAGTCCCCTTAGATCTCGTAGAATCTCCTCGCTTCATCCTCAGTCACAGCGCTAGTGTGGCACCTGTTCAAATCCACAAGTCCATACTTGCTACCCTTGATCTTCCACCACATATCGCGACGATTCCCGTTGAGCTTTCCACCAAGTATATCTTCCTTCAATTGCCTGATGAAGGGATTGTATATGTCTGGTTCCTCGAGCTCGATAAGCTCTTCGCGCATGACGCGAATAGCTTCAAGTGCCCGTCCATAAGCATTATCGCCCACGCTGTTGCTGATGAGGTTGCGAATCTCCTTTGCAACGTCGTCCACGGCTTCTTGGATAGCCTCCATGTCGTCAGACGCGGCAAGGGCTTGCTTGAACGAGGGTATGAGGTTGTTGGTTTCGATCTTGACTCGCTTGGGGTTGCCGAGGAGTGCGTCAACATCGAGACCGGAGAGGGGCTTGTCGCGATCTCCACGCTGGCGTTTTCCTCGGCCTTTGACCTTTGGTGGGACTTTCTTGACATCTGCTGCTTCCATCAACCTCTTCAGTTGCTTTTCCGATGCGGCGAGGAGCTCTGCTGGTGGCGCGGAGTACTTCATTAGGATCTCGGGTGGGTCGGGAATAGGCAGCGTAGGGTCGGGATGCGTCGCTCGCCACTTGATTACATGCCCAATGCGGTGGACAAGGGGTGAGAACGTATCCTCTGGTTTCGCGTATTCCTCTGGGTTACCCTCCTCGTCGCGGCCAAATGCCGATAGATCCATTGCGTCGACATAATCGCTCATTGCGTCAAGGAGCTTGTCGGTAGGCAAGTCTCTATGCTCTGTGATAGTTTTGCCACTGACTGTGAGCTTTCGGTCTAACGGTGGGAACTTGTACCGTCTCATGTCTTCCTCGAAAGGTAGCTCAACATCGACTAGAGCCTCCCACTCCAGCTCGATACGGGGGACAAGGAGCAGCAACACTGGAGGTTTGAGGTCTTTTGCCACCAGTCTTGCGATCGCATAGCAATCGGCTTCGTAGAGAGCGTGAATGAACGAGGATAAAGCGAGCTGTGCTTGGGTGTTGGCCTTCTGCGGCACTATGTAGTTGGAACGACCCAAAGGGAGATAACGTTCAAACTCCTCCATCTTTACAAAGCCGACCAATTCTAGAGACTGTTGGGTTTCCAGTTTGACGACATTCATATCGGACTCTGAGATGTGCACTGCAGTTCTGCCGTATTCATAGCCGCGCTCTAGCTCGTCGAGCTCAACGGGGTTCTTCAGACCAGGCTCATCCAGGTTGTCCACTTGGTAGACGCGCTGGTTGTGGACTGCTGCCAGATCGGGCATCGGCTGGTCTTCGCCCACGACAGTCGCCGATGACTGCCCCGATGCGCCCGGATCCGTTCGTACTGCGAACGTACTTGCTGTGGGCGGCTTTGATATCATAGTACATGGATATCGTTCGACGTCAATGGTAATGGTGGCCTCGTACTTGCTAGCATCTCCCAATGTAAGCGAGCCTCTGTAGCTCTGAACAGGGCGGGTTTCCTTGAGACGCGGTGTATGAAGTTGATCGACGGCTGTCGCAAGTGTGCCGAAGTTGCCATCGCAGTCATCTATAAAGCTTTTCAATATAGCTTCGTTCTTTGCCTAGATTGGGTCAATCATGGTCCGCTTTGGCGATCGTGTCATATACCTTTTCAGCGTTCTTTCCCTCCTCTTTATAGCCCACATCTTCGTCATCAAAATCGAGACCGAGCAACACGATCTCGAATGGAGCAGCCGGGTCTTTGATCTTCGCCGCCATTTCTTCGAGATCGCTTGTGTCCATTTGACCGCGACCGTCAGTCACAATGATCACCCTGCGATCGTACTTCAATGGGTTGCCTTTGGCACCTTGTGTCGCATTGCCAATCATGTAAACGGCCACCGCAAGTGCGGAAAGCACTGTGACGGTTAGCAGGAAGTAAAACTAGAGATGCATGTGACTCACAGTCGCCGCTGTCTGTCTTGCTTGGTTTGAGTTGATCTTGCAGCATCCGAATGTCGCCGAGTAGATACCTCGCACCTGTTAGTAGATACAGCATGATTCCTATCCGACAGCTTACTGCTTCAAATTTGAGAATACTTTTATATTCTCGTATCCTTCCCCTTCTTCCATGTTCCCAGCAAGATCCGTCTCATCTGTCCGACAGCCAATCACGCTCATCAGCGCGGTCTTTCTGCCTGACGCGACCTACACATCCATTAACCTTCGAGACATGACGGCATTGAGCGGTAATTGAAGCTTGACGAGCATTGAACATACTAAATCTCCAAATGAACGTCGACTTACAGTAGTGGTAATCTTGTCCCACACATACTCCAATGCCCATTCCAGGTCTGTCTGATCGCGACCATGTCTCTTTTCACCCATTGACCGCCCCAGATCTAGGATGTAGACTGTCGCCTCTTTACCAGCCATGATTGCGTTATAGTATACTTCTTTTACGCGCTTCGCGTGTGGTGACTAGCGTCGCGTGCCGCTAACTTTACGACGTCAAAACACTGAAGGTCGGATGGACGATGTGCTTTGGCAACGTTGGACGTGATGAATTGGAGAAGTCGCAATTAAAAGAAAGAGCGAAGGCGTGAGGTGTTGTAGTCGTCGCATCAGACGGCACGGTGTAGCCTGTTGCGTTAGGCAAACGTGGCACGGACCATGCACTGGAACGCGAGAACATGTGACGAGCTAGCCTCATGGAGCCCTAGAGGAAGAAACGCAGCGTGGTTTCGCTCATACATTTACGGATTCCTTACAATCAGATAGAGGCTTTTACTGCGATACATGTTGAGCGATAATACAGCTGGTTCAATATAGTCTGCTTTTAGTTGTGTTGTTGACACGACATCGGCACATGCAATAAGATGGATTTCTTAAAACCTTGGAACGGTCTGATCTATATGCATCCACCAAACGAGTTCATACAATCTCTTCCTGCATGTAAAGTCTATCCAAACCTCATAGTAAGCGCCTCGGGCTTACTCCCCATAACCTGTTCAATCTCCTCCAAATTCTCCTTGGTCAACTTGCGATAAACATCAACCGCCTTGACCGTCTGATAAATCTGCTCCGGCCGCGACGCACCCGTAATAGCACTCGACACGTTCTTGTTAGACAGCACCCACGCCATAGACAGCGTCGCAACGTCAGTATCAAGCTTCTTCGCAACATCCATGAGCTTCTTGATCTTGCCTTGTTGCTCGTTCCACGCATCGCTACCAACGCCTTTCATGACGGACTGAATGTATGGGTCGTCTGATACGCGGAGACGCGAATCTTCTGGCACGCCGTCGACGTATTTTCCTGTGAGGAGACCGCCTTGGAGGGGAGAGAAGATGGTGAGACCGAGACCGCGGCGGGTGTAGAGGCCTGCGTCTTTGAACTCTTGGTCTACCTTCTGAGGGCGGAGGAGTGAGTAGCCGGGCTGTTCGACAATGGGGCCGATGAGTCCGAGACGGTCGGCTACAGCCCATGCCTCTTCGATCTCAGAGGCGAGCCATTCGGACGTGCCCCAGTAGAAGGTTTTGCCCGTGTTGATGAGGTAGTTGAAGGCGCGTACTGTTTCTTCGATGGGTGTGTAGCGATCTGGACGATGCGCGTACAGAATGTCAACGTAGCTCAGCTGTAGTCGTTCAAGCGAGGCTTCGGTGGCTTCGATGAGATGCTTCCGCGATAGCCCAAGGTTGTTGATCTTGTTGCGTGGGGAGGGGAGGGCAGAGTTGTGGGTACCCCAGTAGATCTATCACAGTTAATACATCTCTGGTCCAAGACCGTTCCAGCGTGCAATACCTTGGTCGAGACGACAATATCGTTCCTGTTCCACTTGAAGTGTTTGATCGCCCGACCCATGACCTTTTCAGACTCGCCCTTTGCGTATCCTTCAGCGCAATCGAAGAAGTTGATACTGCAGAGAAACAGATACAAAGTCAGTGTACATAACACATGTGTATCGTATGCTCTGACTTACCCAGCATCAAATGCTGCTTTGAGACAAGCGAAAGTGTTGTCATCGCCGACATGACCGCCGTATGTGAGCCAACCACCGAGGGAAATGGCAGAGATTTGCAGTCCACTCTTGCCCATGAAGCGGTACTCCATCTCGGGCAGATCTTTGGGTGCTTCGGATTGAGACATGTTGCAGAGTAGAAGTTCGAGAAATAGGTGCTCCACTGTCAAAAGGGAACAAGTCTGATTTATACTGCGATAGCATCATAGTCTCCAACTACCGTGTGTAAGCAAGCCACCAACGATACCGCACGATGCAGTGCAGGACGATCTGCTGAATGTGGTTACTTGCTCTAAACAACCATCCAAGGTGGGGTTACTCGCTGCAAGATACCCCGCACAGAGGGCACAAGGGCGTAGGCGGCGCGGGAAATACCAAATTCGTCCCGCCTGTCGTCATCACTACGGAAGACCACTTTAGGCGGTGGGAAGGAGTATTGGAGGGATGTAAAGATAGCAGAGAAGGATTGCACTTGCAGCAAATGAAGGCACGAAGTGATGCGACCGAGCATGTATGGCAGAATGCCGTGCAGACATTCTGGAAATAGTCGAACAGCATGCCCTCTTCTATACGCAACACGCTTCACCAGATACCAGGGACCATTCTCTTCCGCGGACCTACCTTGGCGGCACCGAATTTCTCCACGTACCACTCCTTCGTTCCGACGGCCGTCACGCCTAAGTTTGTAGCGACAAATGTAGTCGCGCAGACCAGTGTCCAATTGACCCAGCTGCCCTCAGGAGCTGCTATGAGCGATAATAGCGCGTAGATGACGACCTCGCAGGTATAGTGCGGGCAGAGTAGGTTCGGGAATACGGTATGCGAGGGAAGCTGGTAGCCGTTGCTCTCGGTGCGGAGGCGGTAGAGGTAGCTGTGGTAGGAGTGTTGCAGCATCTGCGCGGTGACCACTCCCGGCACAAATGCCCAGTTGCCGGCCGCATTGCTGGGTGTCTCAACCCAGATGGCCATGTTTATCGTGAGGTAGAAGAGAAGACCTAGAATCCAGTGGGCGAACCACATCCGGCTCTTGCTCGTCGAGGTGTATGCGTACGATTCGAGCATGCGTCGCAGGCCTTGAAGCAGCAGGAGCGCCCAGACGATCTGTTGCTGCCTACCTGATTCCCACACGTGCAGTCTCCATGCCCATAACAGAGAGGAGAGCACGGACGTGATGTAGAAATGGGTGAAGTAGTTGTGGGGCACTTGTAGCGACGCAGCGTAGTCGAGGGTACGAGTGAGAACCGACTGCTGAACGGGTGGCTCCTTCCTCCCGCTCACGCCGGTGACGCGGGAGCCATAAGCAAGAAAGCGCGAGCGCAGGGCAGGAACAGCCTGAATGATGAGGATCTAGTAAGCCGGACTGGTTAGTGAGGTTGCATGTGGAGGTGAATGGTGCCGCGATACAAGAAGAGACGCAGCGAGGTAGAAGATGCGCAGCACAGCCACAGGGTGCAGGTCCTCGACGCGGCAGCCTATAGCTGAGAGCGAACGCGATAGCGAGGCCATGTCGGGCGTATTGAAAAGTGAACGCGTAGGGGGCTGTGACGGCAGAATGATGAAGCCCTGACTGGTGCTGACCGCTTATTCGACGGGCGAGTCACGTGTCGCCCAAGCCAATCTCTCCGTGGTTCTCGCGACCAAACAATCTGGCCCGCAGGAGATGATGAGGGCTAAATAACGCGGCAAAGGCCGAGTTAGCGGCGGTTTGGAACCTTGGGAGTCCTGTTTCGGCTGGGATGGCGAGCCACGAGGAACACGGGACCAGCAGCTCGCAGCGCTCCCTATGAGTGGAAGAGGCCGACTGACAGACAGCGAGCCACGCAGCAGCAAACGTCACGGCCACACGGCGCGGTAATCGTGATGTCGCGTCGCTTGTTGACGTTCCGTTCACGATAGACGATGGCTTGATAGCAGCACAAAGGCGAGTGCAGGGTTGCCTTGACGATCCATGCCCCCCATGGCTGGCGCAGGCCGGTGAATGGTGGAGCGCTGCCTGCTACTGGCAAGCCTCTCAGCTCTTCTCCGTGTCGCTCCTCCTCCACTACACCTCACAACGCGCCTTCATCACCCACCCCCGACCGCGCCGTCCATCGCAGCCCGTCGAGCAGCCCAGCGCCCTGTTGTTGTTGCCGCCCGCGCCCACCCTCCTGCAGAGGCCTCCGTTGTGCTCCTTCCGTCCCTTGCTCTGCAAGCCAGCATGAGGCAGGAACTCGAGTGTCCTGTCCCAGCGTAATGACCAGTAATGCCGATCCGGTCTTAAACGCACCCTCTGCCCCCAAGTCCTTCCACCACGACCGCCCGCACAGCCCGCCGTCGCCTCGCCCGGCACCCAAGACGGCCGCGTTTCCGTCCCAACATGCTCACGATGAAGACCAGGACGCTGAAGGCGAGTCCGAGGCCGAGACGGTCGTCCTGTCACGGGACGAGCACCCCGAAGAAAACAAGATGATCAAGACAGAGCGCGTCGAAGACGACGACGACGATGCATCACGGCTGCGCTCCATCAAGGAAGAGTCACGGGCGCATTCAGCCCAGCCCAACGGCCTCCGTCGGTCGAGCAACGGCAATCACGTCAAGGTCAATGGCGCCAAACACGCCTCGGAGCGCGATGCGAAGAGCCCCGTTCCTACTTCACCCAGCAGCCGCACGGCCTCGCGAAACACCAAGGACACCAGTCCAAACGACTCGGCCAAATCGCCCGTCCGATCCGCCCTCTCTCCCACACAAGCTACTACTCGCGGCCGCAGCGCGTCGACTGTCGAGAACCGCAAGCGCAAGCAGCGCGATCAATCCTTCCCCAAGACCTTCGAGCCACCGCGACAAAAAGCTAGGACCGAGGGCTTGAAGGACGCGCGCCCACCCCATTCGCCTGGCACGCCAGGTTTTGGCCGCCCACACAAGCGTTCGCAGTCAACTCAATCCGCCGTCACAGGTATCGCAGGCCGCAAGCGCCGCGAGGTAACCAATCTCGCGCTGTCAACAGAAGAGCATTGGTCAGGATCGAGTTCAGATCATTCAACATCACCGCAGCCCACGTCTGCGCCGCACCTCCAACACGCCCGGGTGAAGCGCTCCACCAACCGTGCGCTGACTTCGCCTGCACGCACTATGCCCCAGCGGAAGGTCGACAGATTCGGCGCAACGCGTCTTGCTCGAGAAAGCGAAAGAGGTGATCTGGATGCAGTCAAGGAAGCCTTCGAAGACGCGCCCGACGAACTGAATCAGCCTGATTACGCCGGTATCGCTCCGCTACAAAAAGCCTCGCTGCACGGTTGGGCGCCTGTCGTTCGATACCTGATTAGCAAAGGCTGCCGAACAGACTGCGAAAGCCACGATCGAGACACTCCTCTTATCGATGCGGTGGAGAACTCGCACTTGGATGTCGTCAAATTGCTGCTCAACGAGGGTCAGGTCAATCCACACCACTCCAACAAGAAAGGTCAGCGTGCGATTGATGTGCTGGACCCGGAAGATGACGACGCAGAGGAGATTGAGAAGGAGCTTAGAGAGGCGATGAGAAGACGGGCAGACACGTCCAACAACGATCCCGAACGCACCCAGAAACAGGCTAAGACCGCATCGCGATTGCTGTACAACGAGTTTAACGTTGAAACCCTGATCGAGAAGGCTGGCGATGGTGACATCCTCGCTGTAGGAGAGCTGATCAACAGTAACATCAAACCGAACATTACCTGCGGCGTTGCAGCAGCAAGAGGTGGACACTACGACATCCTCAGTATCCTCCTCGCGAGTGGCCTCAAGGCAGATCCCGACCCGTCCAAGCACCCAGAAACACCCATGACAGTTGCCATCGGACGAGGATACCTCAAGATCATACAACTACTTCTCGAGCAAGACAACTTCAATCCCACTCGCCGAAACAAAGACAACAAGACATATTACGAGATTTCTGAGGAACGGCATGGTCCTAAGTGGGAAGAAGAGAGGGATATGCTGAAGCGCGCTTGTGAGGAATATCAAACGACACACCGGAGCCCGCGGAGAGTCAAGAAAGAAGCTCCAAACGCCCCGGCGAACCGCATGAAGAGGAAGACATCGCCGCGAAGAGAACGGTCGTCTTCTCCACGTCCTAACGCAAAACGCGCGCAGCTGGTAAAGTCGACGACAGAGCCTGCTGCACCACAAAAATCTCGCCGACTCATGTCCGGAAAGGAAAAGGCTACCAGAGAAGACCAAAGAAGGAAGCGCGTTGTGGACGACGATTCATCAGAAGAGGAGAGCGAAGAAGACGTACGACCGCCCATCCGGAAGGTCAAGCAGCGTTCTTACAGCGAAGGCGAAGAAGCGAAGCCTGTCAAGAAGGTGGTGAAAGCGCGATCAGACGATAATGAATCCAAACGACCGGACCGGGCACACTCAGACGAGAGCGACGAGGACCATGGTACTAAGCAGCCAGTCAAGATTCGGACAAAACCAGGCAGACCGCTCAGCGCCAAACCGACACCCGAGATCGACTCTCCGGACGAACGCAAGGTTGTCAAGAACAAGATCAAATACAAGACCGTTGAAGACAAGATTAGGAAAAGAAAGATGTCGGATGCATCAACAGACGATGTCAGCGTGAAGAGGACGCCCACAGCATCTGCCAAATCTACGCCCGTACCGCCTGAAAGGATAGCAACTCCAGAAGTTGAGCGCGCACGTCGTCAAGAGGAACACAAGCTACAGGCAGAAGCGAAACGCAAAGCCGCCGAAGTTGCAGCTGAGGCCGAGGCGAAGCAGAAGGAAGCAGAGGAGGCGGCTCGCAAAGCTGAAGAGATCGAGCAAGCGAAGAAGAAGGCCGAAGCGGAAGCAGAGACACAGCGTCAAGCAGCAGAAGCAGAAGCAGCACGAATACGAGAGGAACAAGAAACTCAACGCCGAGCAGACCAGGAAGCGAAACGCCAGAAGGATCTGCTTGAACGTCAAGACCGGATTTCCAGGCTCCCCCGAGCTTTGAGACGCGCCTGCGAATTAGGCACCAATCGACCGCTTCATTTTGCAGGGGAGCAACTTGGTGTATCTGCTATTTTCCTACCGTTGTTCTTGGCAAATGCTGAGGACCTCGGTGACTCGCAAGCCATCCCAAATCGGAAGTACATCTGTTCGTTCCAGGCTGTCGGCATACTTGGTCTTCCCGAGCTCGATCTAGCGCATCTCGACGCTCCTTACTCTGAATGGTCTCGCATTCCCGTGAGCCGTGCACAACGAGATGCCATACTTCGCCAATATGATATTGCGCTGTTAGCCCAGGACACCCGATTCCCAATGGAAGGCTCGCCAGAATTTGACTACGCCAAGATCCAGGACAGCATCAAGGAAGCTAAGCATCAGTTCTCTGCTATGGAGGGCCTGTACTGGGTGGAAGAGTCGCTGCTTTACGCCGAAGTCGAGAAGATTGAAACCCTACGGCCGCTGCTCTGCCATATGCGCTCCGATTGCAAAAGAAGACGTATCCATCTAGTAGACAGCAGTGACGAGGAGCCAGAGAAGAAGCCGAAACCCAAGAAAAGCTTCATGGACATGGTGCGCGAGCACAACGGCATTAATGGCACAGCGCCTCGTGCAATCGTCAACGGCAATGGATGAAGTAGCTAGGATATCGGAGCCCTGGTTGTATACTTATTCGGATGAGAACCATGCCACATTGCCGCGCCGTGCCGTACTATGTTGTACGAAGAACAAGAGCGCCTGGGGAAGCTACAGGAAACTACGCCTGTCAATATGTTATGTAGTCCAGCTCCGCAGCGAGAAGTTGGCCTGGAAGTAGAGCGAGCTCGGCAACTCCATGAATGAGGATTGATGTGCACAATCACGAGATAAATTCAAAACATCGACGAAAGAACTGTATAATCTTATCCGCTGCATCATGCTTTCGCTCTCGTATCGTGCCAGGTTAATCCTTGTTGCCTCAGGCTTCACCCCACTTCGGTGCATCTGGCCGCGCCAGTGGCCCCGCATCAGAGCTCCAAGCTCTGGTACACTTTCACGAATCCAAGTTCCTCACGCGCATAACTCTACTATACTGCAAATACCTTGAGGTGATAGGTCTGGAACTCCAGTCTACCAACTACCGATCCCAGCCTCGATACCAACTAATTCTCGTCCCGATTGCGACCTTGCCAGCCGTAATAGCCGCATCCGCGAATCCTCCCACCCAATACGCGCTCGACTTCACAGTCTACTACACACCTCTCACAGCACGATGGCACCCAAAAATAAAGGCAAAGGCCAAGCCAAAGACGACAGCGGCAGCAAATCCGAAGGCGGCGGAGGAAAAGGCAAACTCAAACCCGCAACCTCGATAAACGTGCGACACATCCTATGCGAAAAGCACTCGAAAAAAGAAGAAGCTCTCGAGAAGCTGCGCAACGGCGCGAAATTCGACGAGGTAGCCAGAGAAATGAGTGAGGATAAGGCGCGTCAAGGGGGCAGTCTGGGCTGGAAGGTTAGAGGCAGTCTGATGCAGGATTTTGAAAAGGTGGCGTATGAGTTGGAGCCGAGTA